GGTTGAGAGTCCACCTGCCAATGCAGGGGATGCGGGTTCGTGCCCTGGTCCGGGAAGATCCCACATGCCGCGGAGCGGCTGGGCCCGTGAGCCATGGCCGCTGAGCCTGCGCGTCCGGAGCCTGTGCTCCTCAACGGGAGAGGCCACAACAGTGAGAGGCCCACGTACCGCAAAAAAAAAAAACAAACAAAAAAAGATGTATTGTACAACATGGGGACTAGAGCCAATATTTTGTAATAACTGTAAATGGAAAGTAACCTTTGAAAATTGTATAAAATGAAAAAAAATTGCGTAAAAGTAAAAAATTTTTTAAAAAATACTGGTCAATCAGCCTGAAAAGTCAACCCTGGGCAGAGAGGTTCTCCTCCATCGAGACACCCCTGAGCATGCCCAGATGTCCCGGAAGACTAGAGGAATGACAAAGGACACAGGCTCCAGAGTCAGACTATCTGGCTTCGAATCCTGGCTCCACGTTTAACTATAATGGCAGTCTCCCTGCGACTCCATTTCCCCATCTGTAACTGGAAGATAATAACAGCACCTACCTCATAGGACTTCTGGGAGAATAAAATGAGATCACAGTTAAAGAGCTTAGCAGGGTGGCTGTCACACAGAAAACACTGAGAAAATGTGTGCAGAACCTCTACTATTTTCAGGGGTAACCGGAACTATCCGTCAGTTCCTAAATTGGAATGACAACACTACAGCTACTACTCTTTGGTGAGGCCCTAGTTAGGGGCCCCCAAACATCTCCATGGGGTTGGTGGTATGATCTTCACTTTAGAGTTGAAAATGGAGCTTTAGAGGGGTTCAGACACTCATCTAAGCTTTCTCAGCTAATAAAGGTGGAGCAAGGAAAGCTTTGATCACATTGCAGCAGAGTCTGTATCATGTAATGGACCTCCAAAAGCTTAAAAGCATTTTAAAATAATACTTCAATATTCTAAAATCACTACTTATTGAATAAAATTATGTTCTTGTGAAATCTCCCAGCCTTCCCCCATGACATCTGCATAATTACCTATACAATCAGAAATACCTCACAAATTCTGATAGACCATGAAAAACACAAAATTATCTTTCTTAACATAAATATGACTGGGTAAATCATCATGCCCATCTTAATGAAATGGATTTAAAAGTTCAAAAGTACTGCAGACCCACAGTTTATCAAGTCACTTTTTTTTCAGGATTTGTAATTTGATCCTGTAAAAGAAGGGGCACATTCCAATTGGCCTGTGCAACACCTCTCTGCCCATATGTTTGGTAAGTGTGTAACAAAATTGCCTAGAGGTAATAGTTCCTCCAAATATCCTCTTCCACCATCTCTTACACTAGTTAGCAAGACTTATAGACACTTCACTGCCCTAAAATAAAACACAACCAAATTTAAACTATGTCAATGTTGACTCATCTCACAGAATGTCCTTTAAAGCTCTAATACTGAGATCCAGAAGTATGTATAACCAGTCAAATTTATAAATACTTAAAAGATCCAACAGCTTCAAGGCAAACTGGAATAATAACAAATCACATTAGTCAAGACTGTTTGTCCCCATCAAATGAACTGGTTACCCAGTTTCTTAAAAACAGAGTTCATGATAATTGTTAATCCATTAACAATTTTAAATAAAAGACATGCTTAACTTTCTTAAGAAGTAGTGGTAAAGATAAGCCAAGCCATATAATTTTATTTCACTTTCTATTTGCTTTACCCAGGCATTACACAGTCTTGTAATCCTTGCTAGTAAACACAAATGAGATGATATTAACAAAACATGTAAACTGAAGTAAAAGAGAATCTAAAATGCCTAAATATTTCAAGAATGTATTGCAGTTTCAATAACCTGAAACTCCAAGTATCAGAAAGCAGAAAGAATTACCATACAACTGTAAAAGTCAAATATTTATACAGGTGCCTTAAAAGCCACTGTTGGGTGCACACCATCATCATTGAAATTTACTATCTGTTAAGTAGTTTCAAAGTGCAATAACTGGCTTGGAGCGTGAAGTTTATGACAACAACTAATACATCTGGAGAGACTGTGAAGGCGTGATGCTTGTCATAACTTTCATCAGGTCAGCAACACGCAGCCAGGCTAGAGCAAGACAGGACCTCAGCACAGGTGCCTTTTCTCATTTCAAGAGGGAAACCTAAACCGATACCTTCATGGATAATTTAACAAGGATTGTTCCATAAATTTATAATGTCACTTGTGACTTTCTTATAACTGCTCTTTAGTAGCATTCAAAAACAATATTCTTGAGATAAAAGTAACTGAGAACATAAAGTATGAAACTATTTCAGCTTCAAATTGAGAAAAGGGGGAATGTTTAATAGGAGAAGCACCTAAAAAGGTTATAAACCCCTAAGGCCACATTCCATAAAAAGGTGGAAAGAAATTTCAGAAATGATAAACATCCAAAATTTGGAATTATCCCTAATGGTATATTATTTAAATTTATAAATAGGAATACCTCCTTAATAGTTTACAAATTTACAATTAGGAATATCTCCTCTTATTCTTCCAATAATTCTAACTATAAGAAATTTTCCTTTTCAGGGTAAAGAGAAAAATGGAAAAGAGAAACAACATTTGTGAACATTCAGCTAAACTTCAGTCCCTGAACTTCTTAGATGATGATATTGTTATGTTTCTCCTCTTCACTTCTGAGCAGGAATAAAAAGTGTGTTGAAAACTACAAGAAACCACGCTAAGCTCAAGTCAGTGTTCCTCAATAACCAAGGTTCGGTTCCAATGTTCATTTCACCACTTCTTACTTCAACACAGCATCTGCCTTTTCAAGATCTGAGAGTCAGTTCAAGTTTTCAGGTGAAGATAAACACTAAGCAGTAAACCCCCAAACAAGCGTCTCTAAACTCTGGGGGGCAAAGTCAGTTACACCCACCACCAGGGCTCAGCAGGGAAGGGTGCCCAGGGCCCCCTCAGGCCCAGGGCCTCTGGCCCGACCATGGCGCACCCCGTCAAGAACGTGCAGGCAAGGCTGGGAGCCAAGGACGGCCAGAGAGATGCCACAGGTGGCCTGGACGGCTGGCTGGCCCCGCCTGGCACTTAGGCCTCCTCCTCCGGGAGGCCCAGGGCCGGGCCCCGCCTCCCAGGCCGAATGGACCCTCCAGCCTCTTGCTGGCCAACTTCAGGCGGAGGCGAGCTCGGAGCAGGGCTCAGGGGGCCCCTCTGGGTCCGTGAACTGGACACTGTGACCGCCCAGGACGTCAATTCCACCCTTCCCTCTGCGCCCAGAGTGTCTAAAGGTCCCGGGGCCGTCGCAGAGCGGGTGGCCAACTCTGGCCTTGGAAGGGGCGGCTGCAACCGGCCCCCTCCAGGGCGCCTGGCCGGCTGACGCAGCCCCGGCTCGGGCAGACGGTCCCGCGCCTCCTTCCCGGGACCCCTCCCGGCCACCCGGGCCGGTGACGCCCCACGCCCCCCGCGCCGCGGGCGCCGCCGCTCGGCCAGGTCTCCCGGACAACAGCCGCCGCCGCGCTTCCGAGGCGGGTCCCCGCGCCCACCCGCGGCCCGGCAGCCCACCTGTCCCGGGGGTCGATCCAGCTGGTCCTCCGGGTGTTGTGGTCGATGTAGAAGACCTTGCCGTCGTAGTCCCTGGCCTCCTCCCAGCCCCGGGGTAGCGGCAGCTGCCCGCTCCCGGCCCTCCTAGGCATGGTCGGCGGCCTCGCCGGCGAGCGGCGCCTCCATAGGGGACCGGGCGCGGGACGCGGCGGGAACGCGACTGCCTGGCCCGACCCGGGCGCCGGCGAGGGGCTGCGGGGCGCGGGGCGCGGCGGGGCCACGCGCGGGGGCGCCTCAGGAAACCCTGCTCTCGGCCCCACCGGGGATCAGTCCACCATGTCTGCGTCGGAGCGGGCGAGCGAACCCTCCTCCTCCTCCTCCTCCTCCTCGCGATCGCCGCCGCTGCCTCCGCCTCTTCCTCCTCCTCCTCCTCCCCGTCCCCCTGTGGCCGCCGAGGGTCGCGGCGCCCAGGCTGCCCGAGCCGCCGCCGTCTGGGCTCGGATCCGGGAAGCTCCGCGGAGCGGCGGCCGTGGCGGCGACGGTCTCCTCATTTGCATACGATTAGCATGCGCCCCGCCCGGGGCCCGCCCCCACCCGCTCCTCCCCTCGTTCGGCTCATCTGCATGCACATTCCTCGCCGCCACATTCCAGGGCTTAACCCTACCGCTCCCGCGGCACGCTGCGCCTGCCGGGGCGCCTGCCCGAGTCAGGGGCGGAAGGGAGCCGCGGGCCAGGTGGGAGGGAAGACGGAGAAGGAATGCGCTGCTCGCTGCTTCCCCTTGACCCCAAATATCTCCCTACGGCTGAACATTTGGGGTTTTAGAGTTTCGGGACGGGAAAGGCAGCTAAAGAGAAGTCTCCGCAGCCCTCTCCACCGCCTTCCGACTTCTAGGGAAACCACAAGACTTTCGAGAGGAAAGGGGTGGGGAGGCTCTCTTCGGAAGACAAGGTCCCAGCAAACCGAGAAGGCACAAAGGCTCCCCCGCTCCCCCTCGGACCCCGGGGCGTTCCGGGCGGTGGGAAAGTGTGAAAAGCAGAGCCAGCGCTCGAAAGCGCGTCAGTGGCGCGTCCGGGGCGGTGTCGCCCCCGGGGCCTCTGCAGGGCGCCCGGCCCTCCGTGACCTCAGCCTCGCGGCGGAAAGCGAAGGCGGATCCCGCGGTCCGAGGGCGCCGCGACATGCCTGCCCCGGTGCCCCGCTGCGCGGGGAAAACTCGGGCCAGATTCGGAAAAGCCACTGCACCCCCCTCCCCCCCACCCCCCGCCGCGGCCGTCGTCGTCGTCGTCCGCCGCGCGCGGGCCTGAGGCGCTCCACACGGGGGCCCTGCGCTGGACGTGCACGCGCCCGGGAGCCAGCCCCTTACGTCCGCCCGCGCCCCGGGAAGTCCCCCGCCCGCGCCCCGGGAAGTCCCCCACCCGGAGCCCCGCCGAGGCCCAGAAGGTGTGGGCGAGCCCGCTGGCAGGAAAACGCGGCGGCCTGGCGGCCAGGCTTTCCTAGACCCTGGATGTGTCCGGGGAGGAACGTGGACTTTCTCTCCTTCCACAAGTATTTATTTATTCAGCAGCTACTACGCCCTGGTCGGCCCTGAGGAGGTCCGGACGTCGGGCTCCGGGCTGGACGGTTCCACGAGCCGCAGGCCTGGCAGGGCCCGGACACACAGCATTTGTGCCCCCAGCCCCTCGGTCTGGGAGGGAGCCTCCCAGTCCCCAGACTCCTCTCCAGCCAGGTCTACAGCACCGTCCCATTCATATTCTTCTGGGTTACTAAGCAGCTGCTTTTAGAGTAAAAAAAAAAAACAAAAAAAAAAACGGAGGAAGACCCGGAGATTATTCACCTTTTGGTGTGAATTCGCTTAATCCTGCCGCCTAATTTGTAAAGACTTCCCCACCTTGTGCGGGACGCAGCGCACAGCAAGGGCTTTCAGGGGGTTTGGAACAACGTCCGCCTCCCCTCCTGGGTGCACAGACCGGTAAGGGAGTCAGGTGAATTGAGATTCTCTACAGCGCGGAGCTGGCGCTGCGCGGTTAGTGTAGCAGCTGCCCTGGAGGCTGGGGACGGCCTTTGTTTCTCCAGGCCGTCGGGGCATCTGCGGTCAATCTCGAAGGTGGAGGAGGGTGGTCCTCGAGAGGAGGGACGTGGGGTCAGGCTTGGAACAGCTTCACGGCGGGGACTGGACCTGCCGTCTCGGGCGAGGGCCTTAGAAGGGGTTGTATTTGTACTTGGAGCATCTGGGCAGAAACTTTTAACTACTAGAAACTCTAGAAAGAACTCCTGGGAAGGAGCTACCAGAGGTCGCAGGAGTTGGGGAACGGAGTCACCCAAGATGAACTCACTTACTGTATCTTTCTAGGTCTTCCTCGTTTACACCCAGGAAACTAGGCTTCGCCTGTAACAAAGGGAAGCCCCCGCCTCCAGGTCCTGTGTTCAGCCCCACTCCATTGATCAGGAAGTGATCACACAAGGCAAGCTTCTCCTGTTCCAGGTGAGATGTGACATCCTAGTGGATAATCTTAAGGTTGTACTTATGAATGCTGTGAAAAAGATGAGACCTGGCTAAAACTAATCTCTAACACCACTGAATGAACGAGGTGCTTTGTTTTGGACTGGTCTATACTGGCCCATTAGCGTGGCCAAAATTTGTGTTATGGTATACTAATAACATCATTCGGCAACCCAGCCAAGACATTCTTGTTTAAACCTTGCTTCCTGCTGTGCTTTCCCCCCTCAAAAAAAAACAATTAGAAAGCATGTATTATATTAAAATGTCTGCATCCTACTGTTAAAAAAAAAAAGGTAACACACTTTGCTGTTGCCACAATTTAGTTTGTTTCACTGGGATGAACTACTGCCCAATACTTCTCGGTGTTATTTCACATTTGATAAGCTTTCAGGTAAGTATTCTCACCCAACTTCTAAAACCGATGAGGAACCCAAAATGGCACACAGCGGTAAATGACATTTATTGTTCTATAAATCTCAAGACTTCAAAAAGGGACCCTAAATAGACAAACAAAACTCTGAAGTATTTAAGAGACAAGCTCGCTTCTTCTCCCCCACTGGGTGGCACAGGAAACATTTGGTCACACAAAAGCAGTTAAGACGACAGAAAGGAAAATTGCTCCTCTGCAGGGTTTTTTTGTCTTGATCAAGTTTTCACTCTGCTGTTCTGAGTTCACCCAGTTTACATAGTACCATCCCTTCGGAAAATTCCTAGTGGTTAAGACAATGAAGATTATCCCTAGTTTATAGATGGATACATTTAGATTTCATTTGGTTCCAGTTGATCATTGGCAGAGAAGGATGATGCTGTCTGCTGTCCTGGATACCAGATTACCACAGCCTATGGCACCACTAGCCGCTGAAGAGTCTGTTTTCTGGCCTTCAATTCCCTCTTCTCCCAGCTTTACATTTTCTCTGGTACTAATAGTCTGTGGGGGGTGAGCTGCCATTAAACAAAGCTCCCACGTCAACGTCCAAATCCTGCGTGGCAGGAAAATTAGCGGTATCAAAAATGGGAGTAGACAGTGAAATTTATTTCAACAGATAATTAGTTATCCAAATTTAAAATATGTGTACTTTTAATCCAGCAATCCTGGTGCTACAGGTTTACCTACGGATATTAAAATTCCTCAGGATTTGCAAGGATGTTCATTGTAGCATGCTTCATAATAACAAAACTGGAAAAACCACCAGCATCCATCATTAAGGGACTAAGTAAATGAATTATCCATACTCAGCAAGCATATTAAAAGCATTGCATAAAAATGTATGTGCTGATAATGTGTGTGCTGATCCTGGAAAGATGTCCAGGATCTTTAAGTGAAAAAAAGCAAGGTGCAAAAACCACTTGCTTGTTAACTTCACTGGAGGTGGAGCCAATCATAAAATTTAAAGAACACAGCCTCCTATATACTTCCTTAGTGTCAAAGGGAGAATTCAGACAGTAAATTAAGAGAATGGGGACTGTCAGAAAGGTCTCGTCAAAGCAGTATACATAAGGAAAATGATCATTAAAAGGGATGGGGTCGAGATGAGTGGACATGATTCCAAAATGGACCGGCGTGGCAGGGCGTGCTTGTAGGAGGAAATGGATATTGGAAACTCCAAGGTGAATCTGGTGTGCAAGATCCCAAGACTGGCTGGAGCCATCTAGTTAGGAGGCTGGCGTGGTAATATAGGTATGAGAGAGATAAAGGTCTGGATTAGAAATAAAGTGAGGAAGGCATGAAAAGGAATGATCTGGCAAGAATTTGCTACTGATTAGATTAAGCAGTAAGTCGACCACAAGGAGGAATCTGGTATGAGTCCAAGATTTTAGGCCATCAAGAGAAACTCAAATAGCTGAAATAAATGAGGAAGTCCAAAGGGGGATCTGATATGGGGTTTGATTTTAGAAATTAGAGATACCCAGCAGAAAGTTAAAGGTCGGGACTCAAGCTCAAACAAAAGGTCAGGACTGCAAATACATGGTCGAATGTCACCCATCTGAAATTCTGTAAAGGGCTAAGGATTCAGGATTGAATCTTGGGAAAGAAACATCAGTATAAGTCTAATAGCATTAAGTAACCCATCTATAGTCCTGTATTTGGCCTGTAATTCTTCAGTAATTTGATGTAATTTAATTTATTTCTTTGTAAAATGTGGTCTCCATTTTCAGTGATGTGTGTAAGAATTCGTTACTAGCGTGTAATCCATCTCTGAATGAATTATTGTTATAAACTTTAAACTTAAGCTATTGAATCAACTCATGTGTAGGACAAGATGAACTGGTTTTCAATATTTTAATATCCCCTGTTTCCCCAAGGAGATCAGGGATTATATCAACTGGAACTTCTAAATAAGGATAACGTTTTCTTTCCTGAATCAAGCTAGTGACATTTTTGTTTTTGTTTTTGCTCTTCTGCAACCGAAACGTTAAAATAAATAACATCTCTAGGTATTATGAATCAGTAGCCCTAATCCACAATTCCTAAATCTTATTGTCTAGACAGTCCTGAAAAAGATAGGCATATGAGCGTTAAGAATTCCCAGTGCCAGGCCAGACCAGAAACCTCGATAACCACAGCCACTTCCCTGCCAGTTACTCATTATAGCAACACCTTGGGCAACAGCGATCATTCCAGTTCAGTAGCAAGTAAGCAACATCAAACAGGTTAGATTTTACCTTACTCACTGCAGAGGGAGACCCACATTGAGCGAATGCTGTGGTTGCTAAAGAGATAGAAAACATTTAATAGCTGTCTTATTAACTAAAAGGAACAAAAGTTCCAATGCCATGTTTGTATGTGTGAGGCTCTCAGAGGGTACCTCTTGTATACTCTGTGGGGTAGACTCTTAGAATAAATATTCACTGACATTCTTTCTTACATAATGAAAACATATAAGGTTCCATTTTACTTTTACCATCTTTAATTTGCATTTTCCCCCCATTCCAACTTTATAATCCACGAAAAACAGCTTCTTTAAAAGATGGGATGGTATTCCCTCATCCCTATCTTTTAAAACTATTTCATATCTCCTTTCCTATCCCTCTGAATTTTCCATTAAAATCTTTATTTCTACTTATTATTTCTCAGTCTTTCTCTCTTTCTCCACTTCATCCTCTCTCTTTCTCTTAGTTCTTGATTTCCTGATGTTGACTCAATGCTGTGAATTTGGCTTTAAGAAATTTAACTGCAATATAATCTCCCAAATTTGTCTGATTTAGGGATATTCAACTTGAATAAGGAGAAAAATCAGTCTATGTAATAAAACATGTTCAAAGAAGTGTATTTTGCCAATAAACGTATGGAAAGTTGCTCAAAGTCATTAAGAACCAGTGAAATGAAAACTAAAACCACGGTGAGATACTCATGTAGCTGCTACACTGGCAAAAACTTAAGTTTAAAAATATCAGGTGTTGGTAAGAATGTGGAGCGACGGGTATTGTCATCAGTGTCATCAGTGACAGGTGGCAATACAAATTGGTACAGACACAGTTTGGCCATATCTAAATCTAAAATTGAGGATATCCACATCCTATGACCTAGTGATTCCATTCCTAGGTATATCCCTAGAGAAATTCACACATATATGCTCCAGATCCACGTACAAGAAATGTTTAGGGTGTATTATTTACAGTAGCCTAAAAGTGAAGCATGCAACTGTCTGATAAAGAATGTAGTGGATAAATATATTGTGTGGTTTATTTATGCAATACAGTAGAGCAATGATAAATGGATGAACTATAGCTACACAAAACCCCTTCGATAAATCTTTAAAAATATAATGTTGGGTAAAAGAAGCAAGAAACAAAAGAATTTGTACAGAGAGATTTCATTCACATAAAGCTCACAAAAACAGGTAAAACCAAACTATATTGATTAGAGATGTGTATGTAAGAGGTGAAAGTATAAAGAAAAACAAGGAAATAAGTACCGCAAAGGTCAACATAGTGCTTACTTCTAAAGGGAGGGATAATGTTGAACTTGGGGAGAAGGACATGGGGAGAGGAATTCTGTTAATGTTCTGAGGTTTTTTTAAACCTGTTTGCTTTATATTTTTTGTTAAACTATATGCACATGTTTATACACTTTTCTGTATGTATGTTACATTTCTCTTTCTCTCTCTCTCACACACACACACACACACACACACACACACACACACGGAAATACTATAGTTTTATCTTGAAGCGTGGGAATACCCAAGATCTGGGAAACCTGCTTTAATGAACAGATGAAAACTGTACTTGTAATTGGCACATTCAGTGTGTGAATGCAAATGCCCCACTAAAGGTTATTCTTTCTAAAATAGAGGAAGCTCCCTTATTTGTTTATTTACAGATGTTGAGACATATGTACAAATAAGATCCAATTACAATAATTCTGTAAAACGAAGCTATATCCTTCAAATTCGTATCCTGTACCAGAACTTCTTAAAACCATAAGAAATTATGCACAGCAATAATTCTACACAACCAATATTCTGTCTGGCTGCTAAACACTTTCAGTTTTAAAATGGCCTGACTACTGTTCCACTGGTGTCCTGTGGGGAGGGAGAGGGGCAGCGGGTAGGCCAGCGGAGGCCCGACTTTACTGAACTGTGCTGTGCATGCCAGTTTTTTTAGCTCTCACCCTTCAGCTCACTCAACTCTTTTTGTAGAAAACATCCAAATCACCTCTTCTAGAATTTACCTAGACCACCAAATCACAAAATAAAACAAGTCCCTCACTCATCCATTCAACTTCTATTGCACACTTAATATGAACAGGGTTCTGAAAACTAAAGGCTGAATAAGAACAAGGTCCCTGCTCGATTGCAACAGTACTGATTCTCAGTATTTGGGTATTCCCATGCATTGTGGTGTTCTTGTGTCTTTAAATATAATACCGTTATTTTAATATTTAAAAAATAAAAAATTGGAGCCATTTACTTCTTGAGACACACCCAAGAAATTTAGATTATTTTTATTTTGAAAAATATGAAAACTACAGAAGAATT